ATGGCGATGACGATGATGATGATGATGATGATGATGATGATGATGATGATGATGATGATGTGGTTGATGATGGTGATGACGATGATGATGGTGATGATGATGATGACGATGATGATGATGATGTGGATGCTGCTGATGATGATGATGATGATGATGATGATTATGATGCTGATGATGATGCTGATGCTGATGATGATGATGATGCTGATGCTGATGATGATGATGATGATGATGATGATGATGATGATGATGATGATGATGGTGATGGTAGTGGTAGTGGTAGTGGTTGCGGTGGTGATGATGATTCAGAAAGGATGATGGGGAAGGAGAGGAGAGAGAGAGAGAGCGAGAGAGAAACAGAGAGATAGAGCGAGAGAGAGAGAGAGAGAACAGAGAGATAGAGATATAGAGAGAGAAATAGGAAACAAACAATGAGAGAGAGAGAGAGCGAGAGACTTGCTGCAACCAGCTCGCAGATTCCGAAGAAGTTGGTCGCGTCTTTGCAACGCTTGACAGAGCCAAACAGGTTAGGCTTTCCCGAGTGGGCATCCTGTAATTACGTGAATGCCGCAGAGCCAGGAGTCCTATCCTCCTTGCACGCTCGCATTCCGGTTTCACGGTGCTCAGGCCATTTGGCAACGTCCCCACTCATTTTTTGGCCAAGTGCACGGCCCGGCGAGAGTAGGCACCGAACCGCCTGCCGACTGCGAGCGGGCCACACGCCTGCAGAAGATGCCCCAGGCCCGTCCGCGTCCCACCCCTCCCGCCGTTCGCACCCCCCCCCCCCATCCCGCAGAGCAGGGCTCGAGCTAAACAGTGTTTTGGCGATTCCGTGGGCCGTGGTCGTTGTGATACGTCGCTCCGCAGCAGCGCCAGAGCGAGGACAGAGCGGGAGAGACAACGAAAAAGACACCGCAAACGAACAGCACTCTTCAGCTCGAGCCCTGCCCTCCCGTGGACCGATCGGGCTTCCGGCTGGAGCCGACGCAGCCGGCACGGCGAGCCGCGCCTCCTCCTCCTCCTCCTCCTCCTCCTCCTCCTCTCCTCCTCCTCCTCCTCCTCCTCCTCCTCCCTCCTCCTCCTCCTCCCCCTCCCCCTCCCCCTCCTCCTCCTCCTCCTCCTCCTCCTCCTCCTCCTCCTCCTCCTCCTCCTCCTCCTCCTTCTCTTCGGCGGGGCCGAAAGAGCGGCACGCCAGCGCCGACGGCACCTCACCTCCGCTGCGCCGGCACGCCCGCTGTGAGGCTCGAAGCTATGTCGGGGGCGGAAAAGAGGGGGGTAATGACTAGGGGGGGGGTGGACATTATGGCGGGGGCCATGGTATTTCCCCAGATTTCATGGCGCCTCTTCTTATTTCATTACGTCCCTGGCCCCCCCGCTGGGCCGCGCAAATGCCGCCACTCATGATTTGCACCCCCCCCTCTTGGACACCCCCCTCTTGGCCGCTCCCGACTATGGTCAGAGCGCACCCCAGGAGAGGTCTGGGGAGCAGCGGTATCGGTGCCCTTTTTGGTTTCTCCAGGGGCCCGTGGCGAGGGCAGGGCCCACGCGGCGCTCGCGCGAGGCGGCCCGAGGCGGCGAGGAGGGCGGCGCTGCCAGGCTGTTCGAGGCAGGTCCTGCTCGTCCATGGGAGCTGCTCGCGAGCCCAGAGGCAAGATATTTTTGTGTGCATACTTCGGGGAAGCAAAAGTGGCATAAGCATACAAACTCGGAGGTCCGCGCGGATTTCTCGGGCCCCCCCGGCGGCGCCTCCGGCGCCGCCCCTGGCGCGCTCCGCGCGCCAGGGAGGGGGGTCCAGCGCCGATCCGAGAAATCCGCGCGGACCTCCGAGTTGTTATGCTTATGTCACTTGTTGTTCCCCTAATACTCAGCTTGCCAAGCGAACGGGACTGGCACAACTCACCAGTTCAGTGAATCCACCTTCGCTTGACGCTCGCCCGCACTTCCGCTGGATGGACGGCACAACACATCATACAATCAAGTGGAAATCGTATGTATTATTTTGCGTTGACTGTTTGGGTCTAGGTGTAGGGGTGACAAGGAATAAGCAGTGTCAGTCGTTCAAGTATTCTCACCAATGCCATGGTGACACCGCTTCTGAATGAAATGGCTAGATATCGTATTGTAAGTGGCTCCAGTCTCCAGTCTTACATACTTTTGTGTATGTAGGTGTATCTGCTGTATAATGGGCGCCAGCCAAATTCTCGACTGACTTAATTTACTAGTTGGTATGCTGCGGTCAGCATTCTGGGGAAACGCGCCAGTCTCGGCCATATCCAGGACCCAGGAGGGGCCCCAACCTTTGTGTTACACGTCTTTCCCCCCTGCGGACAACAGTGGCGTCGAGAATTTAGGACCGCGCGCATGTGTGTTGAATATTCAAATTTGCAATAAGCCCTTCTGGCCCTCTACCCACGCTAACTCGAGTCTCCAACGAGCCTCCTAGAGTCCCTTCAGCGCCCCTCTCGAGAGGCTCTAGAGTTCCCTCAACGCCCTCTGGAGCTCTCTAGTGCCCTTTGTACAGACACGGAATTGTCGATGTGTTTTTTTCGGTACCTCCGAGAGCCCCCGCAGATCATTTCATGTCTCTGCTGCTCCCTTGAGAGCTCGCGCATCCTGTCGCCCTTAGGAGATTTTTACAGCCCGAAAGCTAAGAAAAACTTCCCGCATTGAAAAATCACGACGTCGGAGTTCTAGGTCATCGTTCATCACCGCTCTTCTTGCCATCGTCTTCGTCGCCCTCCCTGCGACCCACTCGCCCATGTCCTTCTCCTGCGCTCCCCAATCCCGCCTGCTGTGCCGAGCTGCTTCCGGAGGCTCCCAGCATCGTTTACCACTCTTCCTTCTTTTCCCTCCCTCTGCCTCCTCTACCCCTCCTTCAGCCTTCCCCGCGCGCCGCGGACTCCTTCCGCGCCAGACCAACGTAATGAAACAAGGATTCCGAGACGCCGCTTAGCAAGGCAGCCGGTGAAATTTTGTATACGCACGTATAAACAAGCCTACACATACACATCCAGCTGCCCGCGGCAAGACCCGCCGCGGTGCCAGCCCAGCATTCTGGGTGGCGACTGTGCGAGGGGGCAGGCGAGGCCGTCACGTGCAACGCCTCGTGTCTGCAGGTTAAGAAGAGCAGTGGTGATGATAATGACGATGATGACGATCACGATGCTGGTGATGATGATAATGATGCTGGTGATGCTGGTGATGGTGATGGTGATGATGATGATGATGATGATGATGATGATGATGATGATGATGATGATGATGATGATGGAAGGGTTTATCAATATTATGATTGAGACATGACACGCTTCTGATGATGACGATGGCGGTGATAGTCATGATGCTGTTGCAGAAGAAGATGATGACAGTTATGTTGATGAGGAGTATGGTGATTATGATGGTGGTGGTGGTGATGAGGATGTTGTGGCTGATGCAGATGGTGATGTGCAGGAATGATGATGGCGATGAGGATGATGAGGATGATGATGATGATGATGATGATGCTGATGCTGATGCTGATGATGATGATGATGATGATGATGATGATGATGATGATGATGATCATGCAGGTGCTGGTGTTGGTAGTGCTTATTCTGGAGATGGTAATGTTGATGTTGTTGATGGTGATGATGATGATGATGATGATGGTGGTGATGGTGATGGTGATGATGATGGTGATGATGATGATGATGATGATGATGATGATGATGATGATGATGATGATGATGATGATGATGATGATGATGATGATGATGATGGTGCCTCCTTCAAGGCCTCTTGGCCGTCGTGGAGCTCTCTGGGGTCGTCTTGAGGCCAACTGGGCAGTCGTGGAGCCATCTTGGGTCGTCTTGGAGGCATCTTGGCCTCGTGAGCGCGCATCCGCAGTATTTTACGAGGCAATGTGGCCTCGGGGGCGCGAATCCGTCGCAGTCTGCGACGGGCGGAATGTGGCCTCGAGAGTGCGAGTCTGCTGTGTGCTGCGAGGGACTGTGGCCTCGAGAAAGGGAGCGGTGTATGCGGCGCAGTGTGGCGAGAGAGGGGGGTCCCTAGAACATCACACTAGGTTCGTGCGGCGGTGACGCGCTGGCGACGCCAACAAAGGCGTTAACGGTTGAATTCTGCAACGCGGAAGCACCGATGGGCACGGTAATGCCATTGGACCCGACTTGATCCAACCTTGAACAATTGGGGCCGCGATCGATTCAAGATTGAACGATCGACGCGGTGTCAAACACTTTTGCGCGCGCCGACGCCGCACGAACCTACCGTACAGAAGCCCCACAAGACACCACTTGGCTTCCCAGCACGCTCTAATGTGCCAGGGGGCAGCGGATGTATGTATCTGAAGCAGTACGCACTTGTCTGAGGGGGTAGAGCTGAAAGGCGATTATGTCTGGTCCCGTCCGCGCTTTGCCTGGCCGTTTCGCTGGGGGCGCCCTCCTGAACCGCAGACGCGCCTCTCACGCGGATCGCGACGTGTGGGTTCAAAACACTTTGGGTTTCCAACGTTTCAGCATCAAGTGTTCAAGAGACCCAGTGTGCTTCAAGGCTTCTGTTGCGCGGAATCGCTAGAACACAATTGTTTTGTTTCAATGTTTCTTTGTGCACTTCACCGTTGTATAAGAGAGCTTTCAAAACAAGGGCATAATTCAATGAGTTGGCACATACTTACTTGTGGAATCAGCATGGATTTCCCGTGCGTTTCCGGAGTTGATATCCAGCGTTGGTGTGAGCTTTTCTGTTTCATGCCCACATGGAGTGTTTTTGTTCCAGCCGTTTTTCTAATCGCGAGTTGTGGCAACACCATCGGTGGTCCCCCAATGCTTGTTTGTGCGAGTCTTGGCACGTACGCGCCTCTTCTATACTGTGCATCCCAAAAGATATTCATACTCATGTATATATACACCTGTACAACATGGGCACATGTGCATGTGTACTCGCATGGTATCCGTACCTGGTTCGTCTCGTTCTCTTCCCCCTTCCACTCACCCATTTCTTCTCTGGTCTTGCCTCTCAGTTCCGCTTCCTGCTTGATTCCTTCCCTGCTCCCCCTTTTCCCCCTCGCGCTTTCTTTTGCTCTCCCTCCTTGTACACCAGGCCATGTCTGGCGGATCATCGTGGGGGGAAGTGTCCGACCCTTTGACATCGATCCACCCGTTGGTGACATTCGCTTTCTGCGTGTACATCATGATGGCCGTCTTTGCCGTGCCCTCAGGAAATCAAGAAGGAATGATGGATGGAAGGACGGACGATAATGATGATGACGACGATGTTGATGATCAAGATGATGAAGATGATAATTCGATTTCGATGGTGATGCTGCTGCTGAGGATGATGAGTATGACGATGATGATGAGGATGACGACAAGGATTCTGAGCAGAGGATGATGATGAGGATGGGAGTTATGATGATGACGATGATGATGACGGTGATGACGATGATGATGCTGATGTTGTTGATGATGATGATGACGAACATGTTGCTGATGATGTTGATAGGAATGATGATGCTGATACTGATGATGCTGATGATTATGCTGATGCTGCTGATGTTGTGTATGAAGATGCTGGTGATGGTCATAGTGATGGTGGTGTTGATGATGCTGATGATGCTGATGATGATGCTGCTGCTGATGATGATGATCATGATGGTGTGGGTGAAGGTGATGATAATGATGCTGGGTGTGATGATGCTGATGATGATGTTGTTGACGATGATGATGCTGCTTCTTTAGTTGATGATGATTATGATGATGGGGATGATGATGCTGATGATGGTGATGCTGATGATGGTGATGCTGCTGCTGCTACTGCTGCTGGTGCTGATGATGATATCAATCACGATGGTGATCGCACTTTCGAGCACGATGATGATTCGGAGGAGGAGATGCAGTAGGGGGGAGGTCTCTGGAGGCCCGAGACGTCTCTGAAGGTCTCTGGGAGATGAGGAGGAGGGGGAAGAAAGGTTGACGGTGAGGGAAGCTGAGAGGGAGGGGGGGGGAGAGGCGTTGGCGGAAGAGGCGGGCAGGGGTAGGGGGTGGAGGGGGAGGAGAGTACAGATTGGTTCGGAGGAGGAGGAGGCACTCATACCGCTGCCCTTCCCCCGTTTCCCCCTTTTGGGCCTCCTGCGCGGCCTTCATGGCCACAACTGAGTTCGCTTCGAAGATCCTGGTCAGAAGAGCGCACCCCCCCAGGCGAGGTCTGGGGAGTCACGGCATCGGTGCCTTTCGATTTTTCCCCGGGGATGGAGGGAGGGTGTGGGGGCCGTGTCGAGGCGCGGAAGTGCGGAGCACGGGGGGGGGAGGGGGAGGAGTGCAGAGGGGGTGGAGGGTGTGGACGGGTGGAACCCAGGCATCATCATCATCCTCCTCCTCCTCCTCCTCATCATCATCATTATCATCATCATGATCATCATCATCAGCAGCATCATTACCTGATTCGGCCGATCCGTCGGCCGGCCAGGGTCAGGATCTGGGGGGGGCGATCGCTCGGGCGCTGGATCTGCAGGGCTCTCCGCCCAGCCGGAGAGCACCAAGGTTCGAGGATCGATGTTCGAGGAGGATTTGGAAGGTTGATGGATTTGTTTTCCACCACCACCACCATAAGTTAGAGGGGGAGAGGGTCCTTCTCCTCCTCCTCCTCCTCCTCTTTGGCCTTCTCCTCCTCGTCCTCTACCTCCTCCCCCCTCCAACTTACGGTGGCAGTGGTGGAAAACGGGCCCATCAAAGGTTGTAGCACGTTGTGGGCCTCCAGAATGCTGCTCGCCGCCACGGCTGCTTCGTCCAGAATCTTGGTCGGAATGCGCCGCTGATGTCAGGGGGGTCGAGATCGGGCCGTGGATCGGTTTGGGTGGCAGACAACTGGCGATATTGATACATCATGACTGCCTCGCATTCTTCGTGTTCGGCCTCCAGAGGCCCTTCTCGAGCCCCAGGATCCGAGATCCGATGCCAGAATCTGCATCTATGAACCGACTCTGGAATCGATGTCCCAGGACCTCAGGAGGTAGCCTCCTCCTCCTCCTCCTCCTCCAACTCCAACTCCTGCTCCTCCTCGTCCTCGTCCTCCTCCTCCTCTTCCCCCTCCTCCTGCTCCTCCTCCTCCTCCTGCTCCTCCTCCTCCTGCTCCTCCTTCTCCTCCTCCTCCTCCTGCTCCTCCTTCCCTCCTCCTCCTCCCTCCTCCTCCTCCTCCTCCTCCTCCTCCTCCTCCTCCTCCTCCTCCTCCTCCTCCTCCTCCTCCCCCTCGTGCCCAAGAATTTCAACGTCTGTTGCCTCCCCAGGCCCTGGGACATCGGCTCCACAGGCGACAGATCTGTGAACCTTCGGGCCGCGGACAGGACTCGACCCACGAAAACGGTTCGGGACGAAGCAAACGCGGGCCACAGGAAGGGGTTAGCAGCCCCAGGGGCTCGAGAATCGACCAAATCACAGCGCCGGTGGTCTGGGGTTCAGCCCGGGTCGGGGAATCTGCTTCCGAGGTCGTGCTCAACGTGATCTGGAGGCCTTCGGTTGCCGCCTGCCCCCGTTCGGGAGACGGCGGCGAGACCGACGACGGCAAGATCAACGTAGGCGGCTGCCGCGACGACGACGACGGTGACGGCGGTGACGACGACGCGTGTTGTTTTCACGTGGCCCCGTGGCCTTGCGACGCGTGGTGCCGTGCAGCTTCGTGCGATGACCTCGGGAACGACAGCACGGCTTGACGTATGCGTGCCTGTCTGCAGGCGTGAGCGCGTTCTGCTTGGAAGTGTAATTTCCTGGCTCATGTTCTGGGATATTCGTAATTTTGTCAATCATGATAGCAAATGAACGTAGCCGCTTCGGACTCTTGTCTTCAGGGGCGGGTTCCTATTGCGTGGCATGCGTCTCTTATGTAGGCTCTGCGACACGGTCGGGTTGAGGGTCCCCTGTTGCGTAGGAAAATTGTGCTTGGATCGCATTGGCGTTCTGGCCGCTATGCACTTCTAGGATTGAGCCGCAAGTCTGCGTGCTGCCATGATTCAATCGGCTGGTCCGCCGTTGACCGCGTTCTTTTGAACACTTGCATACCTTGCTTGCCGCAAGCCGCTGTAGGCGTACTTCCAGTGCTGGTCAATGCCGCAGTGCCCCAACTGCTTCAGCATGTTCGCTAACTGACTTCTCGTGTCGCTTCACGTCACTGCGCGGGCAGTAGCCGCACCCGTTCTTGGGAGCATCGTGTAATTATGCGCACGTGCACGTGTCCTTCTAGAAGTACGTGTTGACGAACGCGTGCACCTCACGTCATCCTCACCCCCGGCGCGCGAGTAGGTCAGGCCCCACCGCGCCCCTCAGGGGCAACGATAGGGGGGGATAGGCATAGGGGGGGATGCATCGACCCCGAATCGCCCATTGATCGCCGACAGGGGCCCGATAGCCTCTTCGAGGTCCAGGGAGAAGCGTTTATCGACAAAGTGAGCCAGGAGATGAGGATGAGGAAGATGAGGGTCCTGTTCTTCTGGGTCAAGCTGCTGATCGCGATCCAGGTGTTTTCCGGGGAGTTTTTTTCAGGATTATCGGGGACGTGGAGATGTTGATCAAATATTGGGGCCCTCCACGGAGGGGCTTCTGTTCTGAAATCCTAGCTCGATCACTTGCTTGGTACCTTGCTCGTCGCGGGGTTCCTGGTCTCCATGTCGGCACTCGGCATGATGAGCGACGATATGATGCATAGTTCTCAATTTAATCCTTTACGTCTTCGTTTGGCCTCTCGCAGGTGGGCTAAAACGGACGGGTCTACATACATACCTGCAGTCGCTCCGTCACAGTACAGGCGCCAACACTCGTGTTTCACTTCGGCACCACCGGCGCGTGGGCGCAACTGAGTTCCCTTACGTCACAGTTATCGACCATTTCACCTTCGCGTACTGACGTCCGGGGACTCGTTCCTCACAGCAGGCATTGATTTTCAGCGGGTCGATAACCTAGAGAAGGCCTGATGCCTTTTTTCTTTTTTTTCCGAGAGAAAAAATGGGATGTGACCACGCTCGCGGAACTTCACGGAGACTGGGAAGCCAACCTCATCGTGGAAGAGTTCTTAGTCATAGTCCCTAGAAGAATAGCAGTCGCATTATCACTGGCAGCACGGGTTGCACATCGAGCAGCACGGTCTAATATATTTCGTTTCTCAAATTTGGTATTGGGCGTCTGCATGCGATTCCCAGGGGTGGACCAGGAGGTGTTGTATTGAAGTGTGTACATGCTCAGCACCCTTCTGGCGGAGGAGAGGAAGGCACACTGGGACAGCACGGCGAAGCTTTGCCGGGCTCTGGGGGACACGGATTTTATCGCAGTCGTGCAATGTGATTTCAATGCACACCGGGCCCTTACGACCCTGGCGGACGACACCAGCTTTGGGCCCTGCACGCTACACACGGCCACCACAGTTTCAGGCAAGTTGTTCGTGAAGTTCGTCCGGGAGGTGGGGGCACGTTGCGTGGACTCGCTCTTGCCGTGCGTACACCGAGGCATTCCGACACATCCGCACACGCACATGTGGTACGAGCTAGACAACACGATCACATTGGGACACTTGGGGCGAGCTTTCAAGCATATGCGCACGTGCGCCACGAACTTTCCTGATCGCATGGCAACGCACTACACTATGACATTACCCACGAGCAAGACACAGAAGGCACGACAGGCACGTAAGCAGAAGTTTTTGGCACTCAAACGAGCACGAGAACTGGCACGAGAACAGCGCACTTCCACTCTTCGATTCGATCTTTTTCGGGACCCCACAGAGCTCGGAGCCCACCATCGTCAGCATACCAAGATCGAGTTCGACAGCTGACGGCGGAGGTTCTGGACCCTGGCGGAGGACGACAGCGTCCTAGAGATTTTCTTCAACGGCCCGATTCTCTGCACCTGTTTGTTGATGGGTCAGGGGACGGCGAAGGGCATAGAGGCAGGCTGGGGGGTAGCCTTTTTCGAGGGGGATACGGGGGCCCTGGCAAACCGGAGCCTAAAAGATCTTCTTGCTGAGCTACAAGCGGAACCAGTAGATATGTGGCACGGTCCAGTACACCGCGACGGGGCCGCCCAGGACTTCTTGGGGGCCGTCGGTCACACCAACAATACGGGCGAGATGTCGGCCATATGTGTAGTTCTATTGTATCTTATTGAATCGGTCAAGACTTCTACATCGGCTACACGATATTAGGATAGTGCGTACGCAGCACACATGGCACGAGGCACATGGAGACCGAAACAACATGTTGCATTCGCTCGTCGTCTCAGGAGGCTCTACAAGCAGGCGCAATCCCTTCGGCCAGTGCGACTCATCCACGTGTCCGCGCACACGGGTGTCTGGGGGAATACGCTCGCCGACGTGGCCGCCGAGGAGGGCACAGCTGGCCATCTCCGGGCACCGTCGTGCCTGCAATGGTCTGTTCCGGACCCAGCGCCAGAGCAAGTGATCGAGGGGCCAGGGTTTGAATCCGAGGAAGACGTCTTCGGCTTCGGCGGCGCCTTGGACGTGCGCGCAGACGACATGGCTCAAGTTGATGCATCCGTCGACGTCCTGGCTCATCATGAGGCCCAAGTTGGAGGGGGAGAAGGGGGAGAACAACAAGGAAGAGGACCGCAACAAGGTCCTGCAGACGGCGGCGATGGCGTTGGCGGCCCAGGAGGGTCTCTAGGGGGACTACGAGGAGAACAAGCACTAGCTGCGCCTACGCGCTCGATGACCTCGACGGGGCGCACGACGGGACTACAAGAAGCAGCTGCGCCTCCGCGAGAGGAAGAACCAAGAGGAGAACAAGGGGGACTACGAGTGGAAGCAGCTGTGCCTCTGCGAGAGGAAGAACCAAGAGTGCGAGGGAACAAGGGGGACCACGAGGGGAACAATAATCAGCTGCGCCTACACGCTCGACGGCCTCGACGGGGCGCGCGACGGCCCGGGGCGCCAGACCGGAGGGCTCGGACCGCCCGCCGCGCGGCGAGGCAGCGGCAGCCGCCCCGCAGCTGGCAGCAGCACCAGCCTCAGCCCCGGCAGAAGATCCGAAACATGCGCTCTGACCATGTGACAGCGCGTGATCTTTATCACCGTCTTCACTTGGACGACATGGGGACCCTCATCGCTCGGCGGCAGGGCAATTTCTCGGGGCGCGTTCTCCGCCGGGACGACAACTGGATCGAGAAGCGCATGCTGAAGTGCGTCGTCATCCCAGAGTGCACGTTCGCTGACCACAGGAAGCGGCCACCCTCGACCATCCAGACTTTCAAGAAACGTCTTCATGAATTGGCTCAATTTACTGATTATTCGGACAAGGAGTTCTACGACAACCTCGAAGCTTTAGCTCGGGACAGGAATGGGTGGAAAACATTGTTCGGAAGGAAAGAACCCGTCGGCGCCGAGATCTCAGCAAGCAGACCTGGCTCGAAAAACACGGATCGGACCCTGGTCGTGACCTGGCGGAGGAACGACAGCATAAACGAGTGGAGAAACTCTCGGGGATCGAGCTCGACTCGGACGGGCCCGCGGCCTGCCTTCACTGCGAAGAAAAGATCACTCGAGCAGCTTGTCTTCGTCACTCCCCGGCCCGTGCTCGCAGGACACCAGAGCAGCGTCGCCGGGCCCCGGCCGCCAGAGCGAAAGCGGCAGCCCGGCACCAGCGAGTCAAGGAAGCGCGGGATCAAGGTCAAGTTCCTCCCCGGCTCCGGCTCCAGTACCCAGGGTGGTCGAAACTTGGAGCACGGCCGTTGCTCGATTGGACCTTCATAGGCTCCCTCGCACTCTTCAACCAAGCAGGAGAGAAGGAGGAGGAGGAGGAGGAGGAGGAAAAAAAGGAGGCGCGCCAGGAGGCGGAGCAGAAGGCGGAGGAGGAAGAGGAGGAGGAGACGCACAGGGCGGAGGCGAAGGAGGGAAATCAGGAGGAGGAGAAGGAGGCAGACCCCAGGAACGGCCCCAGGCCCCGGACGCCAGACCGGAGGGCTCGGACCGCCCGCCGCGCGGCGAGGAGGCGGATGCCGCCACGCAGCTGGCAGCGGCGCCAGCCCCAGCCCAGGCTCATCCAGGAGGGGGAGGAGGAGGTGAAGGCAGAGGAGGAAGAGGAGGAGGAGGAGGAGCAGCAAGGGGACCAGCAGGAGGAGGCCCAGATGCCGCTCGACGCTGGCTTCGGGGAAAACAGCCTCTTCAACAGGATCCCGCCCCTCCTCCGCCACAGCCCCATCCCGAAGCTCGTCCTCGCATGCGACGCCAGAGTTTGATGGGTTCTCCAGATTTGGCATGGGTGGCGGATTTGTTGCCTACTCGACCTGAACGTGTCGCTGCCGCCCCGAAGCGGGTTCCCAAACAGCAGACAGCAGCTCCTCGGGGTGGGTGGCAGAGCAAACATCGGGACACGCTGTTCGTTAGGTTCGCCACTTATCCCCCTCGTCCAGAAGTCGATGCTCGTGGATGTATCGGAGGGTGCTCGATTTGTCGTCAGTGCATGAATGCAGAACGAATCGGTGTTTCGGTGGGCGCTGGCAAGATTTGGG